CTCTCTCTCTCTCCTTTTCTTTTTCTGTCTCCATATTCTCTCTCTCTCTCTCTCTCTCTCTCTCTCTCTCTCTCTCTCTCTCTCTCGCTCCAAATTCTCTCTCCATATTATCTCCCCTTCTCTCTACATTCTCGCTCTTCCTATTTTTCTCTCCTTCTCCCCCGTTCCCTCTCTCTTCCTCATCTCTCCCACTCTCTCTTTCCACCTTCTGCTCCCGTCACCTTCCCCTACTCTTTTTTCACCTCTTTCTCCAACGTCCTCAACACCATCCCTTCACCGGTAGTTATGTGTGAGTATAAGCGTAATATGTAAGCGTCAGCGCAATGTGTGTCTCTTTATGTGAGTGTGATTTGGAGTGCAGAAGTAAAATGACAATGAAAAAGGGAACAGCGTTCTATTCGTTTGATAAGACAAGAAAGTTCAAGGAATTGAAGAAGATAATATGCTGTACAGCAGATTTCCACGCCAAGATTTGCCACTAGACCCAGCTGAGTATCAACTCAGTTCACGGTTCTGTAAAGCTTTAACTATGAATGAGAAGAATCCACATCGTCTCTTTTCATGCAAAAAAGAACACAACAAAAACAATCAACCAACCAACCAACCAACCAACCAACCGACCAACTAACCAACCAACCAACCAACCAACCAATTAACTAACAAACAAACAAATCAACCGCCCCACCAACGAAACAACCAATCAACCAACCAACCAACCAACCAAACAAACAGTTTAGTTTTAGTTTTAGTAGAGGTTTTACGGCGCTCGCAACGCAACTTCATACGGTCATATGAGCGCCAAGTAGTAGATGTCAACAGAGAAGTTACAAGGAATCAGACTTACTCTGCTCACCTCTCTAGCTTCAACAGCACAAAAGTTTGCTTCGACTATCAAGGCACCCCGGAAATAGTGGGCCATGAGAGTGTTACAAACACACAAAAGAAGTAGATGAAAATGACAATAGTAAGGATTAGGAAAGAAAAAGCAGCAGTTCCCTGTTGTAGACCAGGCACAGTTTTGAGCATGACATTGATGAATCAGCCCATTTACAATTCTACTGTGCATGAACGAGAAATGCCCCCCCCTTGGGATTGGCCTAAAGACACTTCAGTCAGTGGCCCCACCCCAGGGAATATAAACAAACAAACAAACAAACAAACAAACAAACAAACAAACAAACAAACAAATAACATACTATCTGGCTATAGAAAGCAAGGTTTTCCGCCCGTCTCTGAGACGTCTGAGTGGCACGCCATAGTTTTCGGAACATCCCTGGCATGTGACGTAGTGACGGCATCATGTCCAGTGCCATGCGCACTTCCGCGGACACCAGCATGTTCAGGTTCCGGTCAAACGAAAACAGCAAATCGTCGTCCATCTCGGGCTTTGTTCTCTCCCCCAGCACCTAAAGAGGGACAGTTGAAAATTTTGAAAGTTTGATTTGTCTTGTTTTGTTGTTGTTGTTTAAAAAAAAAGAAAAACAGGCACACACTTTTCTTTTACACCGACTGGATGGCATTGGATATCCTCTAGAAATAAAATGCAAGGAGCAGGTGAACAAACATTAATCGAATCTATGGTTTTACTCCTAACTTCAAAACACATAAAATGACAATTAAAACAAAACTAAAAAGAAAAAAGAAAACCCACAAAATACACACACACACACACACACACACAC